ATAGTTCGAAGTGAGTTTTTCCCTTTTTCAATTTATTAAGTGGAAATTTGAAAATTGTTCGTCGAATCGATTGCTCATTGTTCCAATGAAAGTGCTACGTACTCTGATGCAGGAAGAAAATCTGATTAAGAGCTCATTCAATTTTGAGGTTACCTCATTTCCAGCTTCTCCCTCCCATTCTCATATACTTCATCTTATCTAATTTATCGTATTTCTTTGATGTCTCGGGCTTGCTCGTTTTACAATCGATGCAACAGGTTGCAAAGACGGAAGCTGTCGGACGCACATGGCGGAAGACAAAGCATCTGTAGCGGAAACGATGAGAAAATGTTTCCCTTTCCCACCACGCTCGCCTATTCACAATTCCCAGGACCTTGCTTCGGGCCTCGGCAGACTGGGAGAGGCTAGCGGAAACGATGGGAGGATTCTCATAACTGTTCCTCCTTAGAAAGAAAATTCTGCAGTTCAGGGCACGCAATACGTTCGGAACCCCCAGGAGGGGAGGGGGGTCAAATCTGAAAAATGCTTTTGATTGTTGACTGTTTTTGAGGTCAGTGTCCGTTTCCAAGTGCGCTATATCCCCCGTCCAGCCATCCCCACCCTCTCCCGCCTGGTGGCAATTTTTCTAGGGAAAAGTGTAAGAGTTGCTCCTCAAAGGGTTCTTCAGGCCTTTGCACCAAAAACGCTCTTCGAAGTCCCTGCCGCAAAGTGATGCAGACCACCTTCTGCCGTTGAGCAAAATGTTGTAAAATACGACTCCCCCCTCGAAATTTTATTACGAGCCCTCCCTTCTTCATCCCCATCCTACCTACCGTCTTCTTGAACTTTCCCAACAAACTTCCTTACAGTATTTCCCGGCAAAAAAAATTGCCGGCCGAGCTGTACGAGGCCGCTTGGGGATGGGGGGGGGGGGAGGGGTGATATAGAACGCACTTGAAAAGAGACACTGACTTCAAAAACCTTCAATAATCAAAAGCATTTTTCTCGAAAGCACTCACGACTCCCTCCCTCCAGCGACCAATAACGAACCACCCCCTTCCCCCATCCCCTTCCACTGGGCGAATCCCAAACATTATTACGTGCCCTGATTCAGGGGTTTTGTTCCCCCCCCATTCTCTTCCGACATGGGCAACGTAATACAAAAGCCTTTTTGAAAGTGCCAAAGGCCCTCCTCAAGTGCCCCATGCATTTCGCGTTACCGACAGCCATAAATAGTGGTGTCGTTTGCGAGTGGCGAAGACTTTCATGACACCGCCCGATAACATCTGCGCCATGCTCATGCGTCGATTCGCACTTCAAGGGATAAAAAGAGGAATTATTGGCGACTCCAGGGACCTCACTGGCAAGTGTTGCGACCTTCGAGAGTAGGTGGTGGCCTTTTACAATGTGCAAGGTGTTTCCACACAAAACTCACAACTGTCTCCTTTTCTCTTTCATCTACCGCCGCACGGGTTGCGAAGTGCCGCCGGAACCTATCATATCTGTCACTCCACCCTCCTTAAACTTCTCACCACACTGGGTGCCACTGGTGGGCTGAAGGGTGCCATCTTTATTGTTGGAAGGCTGCCAACACACTAGAAAAAAAAACCAAATTTACACCCTATTTTTCTGTCCTCTATTCTCTCAAAAACCCCAAAAAAACCTCAAAAACCCTCTGAAAGACGTTGGCCTTCAGGTGATCCTCTATACCTATTTTTAGGTGATTCCCGTCCGGAGCCCAGACAGGGTTCCAGAGGCAAAATGAGGATTAGTGAAACGATTCAAACCTTTGCACTGACGGATTTGATTAGAAGGCAGCAACAGTGCCATTTCAATTTGAGACCCCCTACTGAGCTATTTGACTCTAACCCAATCATCGCCGTAAAAGGGTTTTAATGGTTTCAGGGTTGATTGCCTGTCCCTTGACAAGTCATCCATGAGATCTCAGCCCTGAAATTTTTATACCGAGCTTTTAAGGGTGACCCCGAATTGTCGTCATGATGCCCTTAAAGAAGCTAATGCGGGGGTCGCTTGAGTTATTGGGCCATAGAGTAGGTGTTGATTGATGTGGTAGACCTGGTTCCCTCACCTGCAACTCGAATGGGCCATCAATCCTGCTCACACTACCCATAGCACCTGATCGATGTCAAAAATCGAGGAAACCGTGGCAATTTACGGCCACTTAGGCAGGTGTCAGAGCGCGTCACTATCGCTGTATAATGGTTGTCAGTGAGTATTACTGCAAGCCACACCACGGGCTCCTGTCTCACCTCTACTACGGGACCTTTTCAATGTTTAGCCAACACCAGTTGCGCAAGCAGCGGCATGCCTTTCAACTGGATCAACTGTTAGGCGCTTGAGATAGCCGTGCCTTTTTGAGGGTCAACGAAAGGGCTCGCCTAGATCCATTGGTGGTGAGTGCTCTACTGGCCAGTGACCGGTTGTTGAATGTGATCGTAAAATCAGCTGCGGATTGATGGCGATGTGCTGAGGGGGCGATTGACTGAAAAACTCGACCACATTTGCTCGGCGGTTCGTGTCATAAACTGAGAATAGCACACTCAACGACCATGTCCGTCTTCGAAAAACTCCGAAATTCAATCACCGTCGGCCCGTATCGTAGTCGGATGTCCGCGTCGCGATGCGATTTATCCCAGTCAAAGCTTGGCCTGGACTCGGTCACATACCGAAAACAATGCTCATGTTGAATCAGCGGTTCTACAAAAGGAGCATGTAAATCATCCGACTGGTACGGCTGATAGTCATCAATTACAGCAGCTGCCAGCCAAATGACTATCTACAGTATCCTTGGGAATAGCAGGCAATCATGTTTCCCTTATCAGAGGACAGGAAGTGATGAGCGTGAACGGCCTGCGTTTGTGCGGTGCTGGGGGCACCGAAAATTTATCTGAAATGTAGTAGGATCCATTTAGGTAGTCTCTACTTCCGAAGAACGTTAAATAATTTCACATAGAAGCTGGAGATTACGGTAGTCATCGCCTGGAAGTGGAGTGCTCCCAGAATGCTAATCTCTTTGCTGGGAATCTTATCTCTCGCCATGGGACTACAATCCCACCCCACCAGCTCCTCGTGGAAGCTGTGCCGTTACTTGTGCAAGGAGCTGCAGCCTTTCCGAAACGAAGGCGGCATGGGATTGGGTATCTGGATTGCCTAAATCCGTTCCCACCATGCCGTTTGCTATGAGTACGATTCCCATCTGAGACAATGGGTTTCGCGCAAGTCACAGTGATTTTTTAGCAAATTTTGTATTTTTTCAGAATCTGATAAATATATACAGTGATCGTGGCATCACTTTAAAGTATTATGACCTTACAGAGAACTGTGGTGGACCATTGGGCCTATCGAATGGCCGAATCAGAGACGATCAACTGAGCGCATCGTCATCTTTTGACGCGGACAGTACTGGACCTCAACATGCCAGGTGAGAGTTACTCACTTTTTCTTCTGCAGTTCAGAGGGTTTCCTTAGAGACGACGAACTCATTCCCACGTACATTTCCTGAGGCGGGTGATATGTATGTGATCCCGCAATTGCATAACCTCCAACTTCCCCACGAAGTGCGATTGACAAGACCGATCGTGTACTCCCATCGGCAAAGCGGAGCGGTTGTGAGGAAGGGGGGGGGGTTGTATAAGGGAAGGGTACTGGATCCAAAAATGTTCCCCTCACGATGATGTGCCCTGCTCTTTGATCATCGTACGCCTAATAATCTCCAAAAAAAGTGTGGCACCAATGTGTTTGCCCGACGCGAGTTTCTCAAGTAAATCTTTTGATAAACGCGCTTGTCTAGTAAAAGATGCGGGATATTAATAATGCCGCAGGGTGTGCGTAGGTTTTATGGGCATAATGGATGACATAATGGGCAAAACATAATCAACTGAGATGTGGAAAACATGAGATGCATCAGAAACCGACTGAGAACTTCTCAGAAGCTTCCCACATGGGACAGCTAACGAAAGAAGTTGTCCCATTCGAGAAGCTTAGGCAGTTGTATGGATGTTTAGATTATGAGTTGTGGGTACCCATCAAGACCAGGAGTATTCGACACCACTCTATCGAAGCGACTGCTACTCACTCTCCTTCGCACCCCCACCCCCTCCCACTTCCTGACTTCACCTGACTCTCGTGTTCGATCTGACCGTCTATCTTTTCGCACTCGTTACGGTCCTCCACAAGACTTCTTGAAGCTTTTAATGGAAATTAAGCAAACGTTTCGATGTAGGCAGCAAACTATGGCAGGGAATCGAAGTACCCTTAGCCTTCTCATTTCCTAGCAGCTTCTGGACTCTTCCATCTCGCGCAGGTCTCCATTGAAAGTATTCTGAGACCATAAAGCACGTTGCTGGAACAGCTGCGGTCGAATTGATTCTGCTCTTTGCAAAAGCCTGTCGGTCAGATCTTGGCAGTGATAGCTGCACAGTCGTTCGGAATTCTGTGGCCCTAAAAGGATAAAAGATAGAGGCCAAAGTCTTCACCCATGATAATTTCTCTTGGGATGCGACACGTATTCCACTTTCATCCATTTTCGTACCGGCATTTGATTGTAATATAGCCTATGCAATGACCTGGGAGAGGACCAGCCGATGTACAAGTCAGTGTTTTATCCTCCCAGACGAATCTGGTACCAATTGTACCGTCCCCGGAGGGTAGAAGGCTTGGTTGTCGTGTGCGGGAGCCGATCCTCGTTTTGGTCTCGTGGTGAGCGTGCCACTGAGTAAAAGGAAAACGCACACTCTTTCAAACCCTACTTCTTTTCAAGGCTTTTGGCGATAAAACATAAGGTAGTAAAATGGGATCAAGGCCCGCGCCGAAATCTATGTTAGCGTAGAAGCGTTAACGGTGCAGGTACGAATGCTTCGGGGAACAAGCTGTTTTCTCCTGTGTTGGACGTTAGGACTTTGGGGGTCTTTTTCCTAACCCCGTCCAAGCATCTCTCCCACAGGTCTAGCAGCATATCAGCTTTCAATGACCTGATGATGGCCATTACAGAGTTTACGAGCATGGTAGAAGACAACATCCTTCATAGGTAGCGACAGTCTGACTCCCTCATCACTAGTTCTCCCTTAATAGGTACTACTCATAGATACTATGTAGAGGACTGATACGGGGGAGATTTTCTGGTAGCCGTTGGAAAGTGCGATGTTTTGATCTCAGAAAAACGTTTACGTCAGTGATTTGTACGTAGAAATACCTGTTCCCAAAGCATAAAACAGCACCGATTTTGTTGCCAAACGTTATCATAATCTGGTATTAGCCGAGGGGAGTCGGGGATTCATTCAGTCAAATATTACCCGAAATTCTGGTTGTGGGGTAATTCTGATAATTCCTCCCACGGGTAGTCAATAAAGGTTCCAAATGCTTAAACAAAATTGGACGAACCCGCGTTCGTATAGTTTCCAACCATCTCGGCTGTTGACTCTACAGATCGTCGTTCCGTCTGTTGCGGGTCAATTAGTTAGGTTAGGCTTTGATGAGCGGTGGCAGCACACGCTTCATGGAGCAAATTATCGAGTTAAATTGTTTTCGCTAGGCCTACTCAGCCAGTTAGCGCCTTCATTGGCATCCATATGTCAAGGGAATATTTACGGACATCGCGCATCTCCCATCCCAACACAGCGTTATAATGTCAACTATCAGGTGGGAATGACGGCGATGTGTCAGGGGACCATGTCCATTTTCATCATTGGAATTTCGGCGTCCGATTACGGCGATGCATCGGAAGTGCGGACCACGAAGCTAATTGAGCTCAACGAATCGTAGTGAAATTGGAAACGCCTGAATTACCACGACATTACGCGTAGTAATAAAGGGGTTTTTCAGGGCTCGTACTCATACCGGCAGTGGTGCTTGGTGTCCGCTTCATCAGGTGAACAGCACTCACAAGGAATGGATCCAAATCACATTCTCCAAGGACACAGGTCAGTGGCAGACGCTTTTTTTCAGGGGATTTCCATTTCGCCACGTTCTCAGCACGTTTTTATTGTAGTGGTGAACGCTGTGGAAGTGCAAGGACGCTTCGACGAGGGACGTGGAATGGAGTTCGCTCGAGCGTTCAAAATCGAATATTGGCGACCGAAACTCAGCGGATGGGCTTCGTACCGAAGTGAAGAGGGTATCGAGGTGGGTTGATTCATGAAGGTCTTTAAGAATGAATGAGTGACGACCTCGAGTGTTGGATGATCCGATCAACACCAGCCAACGGTTCATCTCGAATGCGAACAGCTGATCGCATATGGCATCTAGTGGCATTTGCAATTCACTCACAATGTCCATGAGAACAGCAGATGCTGCGAGCCACGCACAACCACGCAATAACGACGATAAGAACCACCGGCACCCACACAAAGGGATTAACTCGACAGTCAATCCTGTCAGGGATTATAGAAGCGTCTCTTACAGATGTAGTGGATCAGCAATGAATTTCAGAAATATTTCGAAATCCTCGATGAATATTCCAGCAAAATCCATTCAAAGGAACGGTGAGAGTAGGTGGGTGTAATGCTCAATAAAAGGTTTTAACTGGGAGGTTTTATGAAAAGTTTGAAGTAAGTCCTTTAGGGTAAGATTGGCTCGGAAGGAATGTAGGCGAATTAGAAACTCGTTCCTATGGCGTTCCGCCACAGTGGCTAGAAAAAGCACTTCTGGAGCGGGTCATGGGACATCAAAGTCCACAAAAGTCCAAAAATTCTGAGGAAATATGAAAGTCTCATCTCTTGGGAAGCCTGCTAAGGAAGGCTGTTCATCAACAGAGATCATTTAACACTTATTGATGAAGCATCCCGAGCTAGCAGAAACACAGTTGTGA